TATCTCGCTCTCCCTCTCTCTCTCTCTCTCCCTCTCGCTCTGTCTCTCGCTTTTCGGTTTCGAAAGCTCTGACAAAGATAACGACTGGTCTGTTCAGTTCAATGCAAGCAGTTTACAATTTGGAGTTTTAGAGTTGTTTGTGCTCTCTCTATCTCTTTCTCTGTCTCTCTCATCATGTGTTCCTTGGTCCCATGACTTTTCTATTCAACAGAAGATCGCCGCACACATCTTCCAATGAATCGAGCCGCATACTATTGCACCCATGTTGTCCATCCGCCCGTTGTGAACAGTCGTTTTCATCATTGTGACATGCAAGCATCAGGCCCGAAAATTAGTTTCTTCGGGTTGGGTCTTGAGTAGGTTTGAGGCATCTGTGCATCTTTTCGGCGAGACAGCGAGGAGCAAGCCTGATAGTCAGCATTTGTTGGCCCTTCCTCTCGTCGCTACAGGCGGCTGCCGGATGCCTCGGAACACTTCGCCGTAAGGTGGATGAGGCCGCAGCTCAGACTGCATGGAGGCACGCTCGAGTCCTCGGTGCAGGGCATGTAGAGAGGGATTTGGACGCGGTGGAGGATGTTGCAGCTATTGAAACGGTATTCGCAGGGTCTTAAGTCTGAAAGGCTCAGGACGGTGGAAGCGCAGGCACAGTCAACTGCATGTCTCCTCCTCTCTCTCTCTCTCATTCTTTCTCTGCTAGCTGCTATCCGAAGGATACGATGTGTAACCCTAAACCCTGAACCTTATCCTAATTATAAAGGCAGCTAAGATGGCATCAATTTTGCCAGGGAACTTGGAGGGTCAGGGGCAGCTATAGTGGTGTTAGAGTAGGATAACTATAGCTTTAGGGGACATAACTCCACTTACTACTACCCATGAACCTCCACGTAGTCCATAAGCTCTAAATCCTCAACCCCGGACCCTCATACCTACCCATGAACCTCCCCAAACCCGAAACCCTCAACCTCTTAGGGTTTAGGGTTTTGGGAACCTCGTTCTGTCAGGTGGCAACAGCTGCCGCGGCTGCAGCGCGCCCTCCTGGAGCTCGTGGACACGCAGCGCGACATCTTGGGCAACCTCAGGTGGGAGTTTCTTGAAAAGGTTCCTTTAGGGGATTGTTCAAGGGTCACAACAACGGGCCCGAATGTAGGGGCGTTATATCATAATTACATTTACTATTTTGATGGATCCTTGGTATAATTATAGCATGCTATGCCCCAAAACCCTATTATAATTACGAAGGCCCCTACATTATGTTATGCCGGGCTTTGCCACTTTTACAGAGCTCCAGGAGATCGGCTCCAGAATTTCTCAATCCGGGCTTCACAGGGTTTAGGGTTTAGGGTTTTAGGATTTAGGGCCTAGGGGTTGGATTTAGGGTTTAGGGTTTTAGGATTTAGGGCTTAGGGGTTGTGTTTAGGGTTTTAGGATTTAGGGCTTTGGGGTTGGGTTTAGGGCTTTAGGGTTTTAGGGGTTTAGGGTTTAGGGGTCTAGGGTTAAGGGTCCAGACTTTCTCAGGGCCTTTCAGGTCAAGTGCTTGGGGGATGCTTTCGCGGTGATGGATGTTCGTAACATGCAGGTGCACTTGCTATTCCGTTGTATTTCTCGGCATGCATATTCATGTAAATAAATAAATGAATGAATATGTGTATATATATACACACACA